TGCTGTTGCTGCTTTGTAGCTTTGTAGCTTTTTCTCAAATGCATTGTTTAAACATAGAAAAACATGTATCTACCGTTAAGAGCAAGCAAACAGAAATTAAGTTAACTTTTTGTCATAGCAGCCAAGTCTATACACTAGCCGAATAGCCCTCCATGCTTAGGCATAGCCCTTCGCGTTCCACGTTCAGGTTGGCTAAATAATTAGCAAAAATTTTGAATAGTTTTTGTGTGTAAACCAGCAGTGAAACTTGCTTCTTTATGTGAGCTCAGCATTGATGGAATGTGCTTACTTTTTACCTAAGACTTTAAGGCAAGAGTTACAGAAACACACAGCAGCTAAGCTTAGCCCTAAGTTGAAGTTATGTTGAAGATTGGTGTCTTCCAGAGTCACTGGAAAGTTAAAGTGGAAGTGGCAGTAGCTGGGGTTTGAGCCAAGTAAGTCTTGCTTACTGTAGAAGCAGCTGAAGTCCTGAAGTCTTGTCCATGGTCACTTTTTCATGTTGCTCTAAAGAGATTCTCTTTTAAAATCTCTCTTGGAGCTATTTGTAATTTGCTGTTCATAGACCAGACGTTTGAGAAAAGTTCTATGCCCTAACTGGCTGGCAGGGCATAGAAAGTTGGCCATGCAGTTCGCTGCAAATTAATTAGACTCAATTTGTGGCAGCTGCCACAACTTGGGTCGCAACTGGCGAACAGATTCTATGCTCATATTGTGTTCAGCTGCCTCTTTTTTTCTGTGAGCAGCAGCAATTCTCATGTAAATGCCAAAAGTTGCAGCATTGTTTAAACATTTACAAAAAAAATAAGAAAAACAAGAAGAAGACGACGCGGTCAAAGAGGAAGAGAGGGGGCAGAGGGAGAGAGTGAGTAAAAACGGTAAGCAAGTTGCTGTCAATGTGAAACATGGACAACATTTTTCTGAGCGCTTTCTAATCGCAGCTCGAGCCGATAAGGCAGCCGTTAAGCTATGTGGCAAGTGTTGAGTAAGGAGTGGGGAGAGGGGAGGGGGAGGTGTATGGAATTTGTTATACACTTTCCCAGCATTTGATTTTGGCATAATTTCTCACTCGCTTGCCACATAATCGACTGCCGTTGCACTTGTTCGATTACAGCCGCAAATCAAATGGCAAACGACTTCTATACAGATGTCAATTATTTTGGCCGGCAACAAACCAAATTGCAGCTCCACTTGGAGCTGAATTGGAGCTCGGCTCGCTCGTTAGCTATGTTGCATGCCACATGGACATCAGACAACTACGTGAGGTGGCTCTTTGCGAAGTCAGTCCAGTCAGCCAAGTCAGCCAAGTCAGCCAAGTCATCCAGTCATTCCAAGTCATCTAGTCATCTAGTCATCCAATTCAAGAAAATTGCTAAGGATCGAACAACTTGCAACTTGCAGCATGCAACGTGGGGCAGCTGCAACATGGAGCTGCTTATAATTGAATGATTGCATGGCTAGGCAAAATGATTTGCTCGTCATTAACTCTCAACTACATTGGCGTTTATCTTGGGACCCCATTCGATTCAATTGATTTGCTGCCAATAGGTGTCAAAACTATTTGGCTTTCATTTTGTAATCCCCACAACTACGAACACAAAAAAATATTGGTGGCACAATATACATCTGTATATGTAAGTATTTGCAACAAATGGGGGAACGAGATGTCTGTCAAGTTCATTAAATTATTTGAAATGTTTTGTCTTTGTCAAGCCGAGTGACTTATTACAGACGCAGTTCAGAGCCTAAACAACTGATGAATGTTACGACCAACAACTGAGACAGCTGGCTAGATGCGCTGATAGACGAGTGGCAATACCCTGCGCATAATATGGGCATGTCCAAAGTAAAGCTACATTTAAAAGAGTCTTTCAGAGATAAGATTTGTCATTGGATTTCACACGGACTAACCTAAGAAGGTATTCCAAGCTACATATATAAATACTTATAAACAAAATCGGTAAAAATGACAGGACTATACAGAAATTATATATCAGTTTTACTATATTGCGATCCATGATACTGCCTAACACTGAGATATGCTCAAATATAGAGGGTATTCTTTTAAATATCTATATATATCTGATAAATATTTCATATATCAGCTTGTAGGTATTTAACTTTCGTAATCTTCTCTCGCTCTCTCTCTGTCTAATACAACTTTTTCACTACTCTACTTCTTTAGATTGAAAACATACATCTTCTCTTTTCAGTTATCAAATATATATATCTGTATATATAATAAAATAAGATAAGCTCTAAGCCAATATTCCCCGTTTTAACCCAATTTCTTTGAGGACAGGATATTCGTAGCAAAGGGGACGTTGCTTGGTGGACATGGACGTAGTAGAGAATGTGAACGTTTGACAAGAAATTTATTTAAAAGACAACTGGCAACAAATAAATTTCAAGAGAATCGTAGGCGCAGCTAGAGCCAGAGACAGAGACAGAGAGAGAGAGAGAGAGAGAGGCAGTGGTTGAGCGCAAGGCCTGAAATACATACAATTCTCGAACTTTGCGTGCAGCTGTGTGGGAGTCATCGTTCTCGTCCAGGCCTTGGTCTGAAATTCATTCATCAATGTAATCGATCAGACGTAGTTCTCTGCCCAGACATGAACTCCGACGACGACGAATCGTGTAAGCGTATGTAAATGGCTCGGTTAACAATGCGACATAAAATTTAATCAATTTATTGCGAACGAGCCATTGTCTAACGAATACTCTGGCCAAAGAGCATTTTAATTATGTCATGAAATGTGCAATGGAAACGAAGTTTGGATAGAGCCAGGTATAGAAATATATATCTATACAGAATTAATATATATTGTAGATATGTTGCAACTCTGTACTCGAGACATTTTCCATCTTCCATCTTCCATCTTTCATCTTTCATCTTTCATCTTCCATTTTTCAACTTTCATCTTCCATCTTCCATCTTCCATCTTCCATCTTCCATCTTCCATCTTCCATTTTTCAACTTTCATCTTCCATCTTCCATCTTCCATCTTCCATCTTCCATCTTCCATCTTCCATCTTCCATCTTCCATCTTCCATCTTCCATCTTCCATCTTCCATCTTCCATCTTCCATCTTCCATCTTCCATCTTCCATCTTCCATCTTCCATCTTCCATCTTCCATCTTCCATCTTCCATCTTCCATCTTCCATCTTCCATCTTCCATCTTCCATCTTCCATCTTCCATCTTCCATCTTCCATCTTCCATCTTCCATCTTCCATCTTCCATCTTCCATCTTCCATCTTCCATCTTCCATCTTCCATCTTCCATCTTCCATCTTCCATCTTCCATCTTCCATCTTCCATCTTCCATCTTCCATCTTCCATCTTCACTTCATCTTCCATCTTCCATCTTCCATCTTCCATCTTCCATCTTCCATCTTCCATCTTCCATCTTCCATCTTCCATCTTCCATTTCCATCTTCCATCTTCCATCTTCCATCTTCCATCTTCTTCCATCTTCCATCTTCCATCTTCCATCTTCCATCTTCCATCTTCCATCTTCCATCTTCCATCTTCCATCTTCCATCTTCCATCTTCCATCTTCCATCTTCCATCTTCCATCTTCCATCTTCCATCTTCCATCTTCCATCTTCCATCTTCCATCTTCCATCTTCCATCTTCCATCTTCCATCTTCCATCTTCCATCTTCCATCTTCCATCTTCACTTCATCTTCCATCTTCCATCTTCCATCTTCCATCTTCCATCTTCCATCTTCCATCTTCCATCTTCATCTTCCATCTTCCATCTTCCATCTTCCATCTTCCATCTTCCATCTTCCATCTTCCATCTTCCATCTTCCATCTTCCATCTTCCATCTTCCATCTTCCATCATCTTCCATCTTCCATTCCTTGCTCATTTCACTTCCATCTTCCATCTTCCATCTTCCATCTTCCATCTTCCATCTTCCTCTTCCAATCTTCCATCTCCATCTTCCATCTCCTCTTCCATCTTCCATCTTCCATCTTCCATCTTCCATCTTCCATCTTCCATCTTCCATCTTCCATCTTCCATCTTCCATCTTCCATCTTCCATCTTCCATCTTCCATCTTCCATCTTCCATCTTCCATCTTCCATCTTCCATCTTCCATCTTCCATCTTCCATCTTCCATCTTCCATCTTCCATCTTCCATCTTCCATCTTCCATCTTCCATCTTCCATCTTCCATCTTCCATCTTCCATCTTCCATCTTCCATCTTCCATCTTCCATCTTCCATCTTCCATCTTCCATCTTCCATCTTCCATCTTCCATCTTCCATCTTCCATCTTCCATCTTCCATCTTCCATCTTCCATCTTCCATCTTCCATCTTCCATCTTCCATCTTCCGTCTTCCATCTTCCATCTTCCATCTTCCATCTTCCATCTTCCATCTTCCATCTTCCATCTTCCATCTTCCATCTTCCATCTTCCATCTTCCATCTTCCATCTTCCATCTTCCATCTTCCATCTTCCCTCCTCCATTAATCTTTTATCTCATGTTTTCTTTGCTATTTAGTTGATTTACTGACAGTTAACTTATCTTTACCGTTAGAGTATTTATTATTTCGGCACCCGTTTGATTGCTCCATTCGTAGTTTTCCCCCTCTTCCATTGGCTACAGCCACGAGTCTAGCGACACTTTCTCTACTCGCAGTTGCAACAGAAAATTGCACAAAAAGCATAAATAAGTCGCAAGTTTTTCTGGCACGAAGCCCAAATAAATTTCAATGATAGAGGCAGGAGTTGGCGAGGAGTTGGCAAGTCGAGGAATCATCCAACAGCAGGAAAGCAGAGGGAGTTGGCTGCCTGACCAACCGTACCCACATGCTGGCTGAGTTATGACCGTGGAGCAGGACTGGAGGATACAGACACGCGTCTGCTGGTCGACTTTTCCAATTTGGAATTCGATTTGGTTCGGTCCGACAATGAAAAACAAACCGAATCATGAATTAATTGTCACTACAACACAAACATATATACGTTAAGCGTTTTGTACATTATATAACTTTACTATTAAGAGCACACACGCAAGCACGCACACACACCAAATACGCGATGGTTAAGGGGAAGGGGGAAGAGAGTACTGGGATCCTGATTAGTTTGCAGGAAATGAAGGAGAGGGAGAAGAAGTATGTCCAGAAGCTGCAGGAAATTAAAGTTAGCTGCAATTTCATTAGGGGTAAGTGGGTGATTAGGCGATAGCTCTGATAATCGATTACTTATCGATATTTAGAGTCCGCAATCGAATGCCATCGGCTGGAGGAGGAGCGCTCCGCTGTCGATCATTGGGATCACTATATACGCTGTGACGGCTTGCCACGCCCATATTTACCACCCGAAATGCGCGACTTTATTTCGAAGAGGCGCTATTATCAACACTTTTTCACGAATCAGAGCGTGGACTGGACCCTGTCCGTGGATAATCGCAGCATACTAACGCAGAATATATTCCGCACAGATCGTACCAAGGAAACGGTCAAGGAGCGGCTCAACGAGCACATAGGAGAGCAATACGAACTGGACATTACCATGTTTCTGGATACACTCAACAAGATCGACCGTATGCTCGATACGGCTATTGAAATGGAACGTGTCGACTTTGACCGTCAATTAGAGATCATGGAAGTGCGTTCAAAGCACTAATTCACATTTGTTAATTCAATTTGATAAACGGTTTCCTTCCTTAGACAAGGCACGAGATTGAAAACGAGATTGATGAATCGTTCAACCGTCTGACCTATCGCATTATACGCATGGATGGCGTCTTCATGGAGTATGTATTGCTTTAAGTACCCTAATTTTTTGCACGAGAGTATTATGTGCCTATTGGGTTGCTTAAAGGCACTGGCACCATGCGGGAAAGATATCTCCTTTATCAGCTTTCTACATAGTTACAAATGTTCTATTTAATTAGGCCCGTTTTTGTGCTGCTCTCGCTACCCTACGCCTTGACTTAGTATACCTCAATTCACAGCTCTGATGATGGCATCGTAGCCACTTGGCGTTATACTTGCCCCAGATATTCCATAGACATCTGGGCGCTGCGCGATGTGCCCATTCGGTTCGAGGAAATGCTGTAAGTATTAGACTTATTTCATATATCAATTGGTAGTAGTCGCTATCCTTAGAGCTCCGCTAATGGTCGCCGAGATGACGGCTACGTCTGTTCGTGTTCAGATGCCGCTGAGTGTGCTCCATGATTGCCTCACATTGCGTTGCATCTGGACGAATTTCGACAACTATACGCAATACGCGAAAACTTTCGATTTGGCCATACCGGAAGGCCATGTGGAGGTGGACGTCAATGCCGGCATTACGGACATCGAGGAATGCTTGGTCAACGAGTGGCTGATGCAGCTGGATGTACAAAAGGAGCTATTGGCTGTTTTGCTCGAGAAACGTGAAACCTATGAGGAAATCATGCGCGTCATCGCCGAGCGCACGGAACGTGCTCTCAAGGAGAAGAAAAACAACGACACAAGCAAGAAGACAAAGATCACTATACCTAAGGCACCCAGGGAAGCGCTGTTGGTGCCAGCAGGAATGTTGCCAGAGCCGTATCCCACATTCCTGGAACGTGAACAACAACAGTACTTGGATCTGCTCAACGATCTATACAATCCAATAAACTTCAAGTTACCCGAGGACATAGTAAGTCGAGAGTCGAGGGAAGCATGGCAATGCTTGTGTTGAGGCTGAGTGATCGATTGATTATCAAGCTTTAACAGTCTGTGGTCTGTCTTTTACTGTTGTTGGTACTTGGTGTGTTTATGATCAATTATTTAAATCAATCAATGACTTAGGGTCAAGTCTCTTTTCCTTCTTAGAGTTCAATCATTGGCAGTTCAAAAATAATTGTATCATTTTGGTAGCATTTGAAAAACAACTATTTGATATTGAAAATTTGTCCATCATTATCTATCATTTAATACCAACTTGGATCATTCGAACATGCAGGTCAATCTGAGGGAATACGTACTGCTAGGCGGCCTCTATTTAATACATTTCGTGCGTCGTCCGTTGAGTACCCATTACCAGATGTTTAACATAACGCTACACGAGGATGGACGAGCATTGCATATTAAGCACGATATTGTGGCCGACATGTATGACCCATCATATGATAGTCGATTGGATCCGAGAGCGACCAAAATAGCGACAAAACGTTCAAAGATGCTGATAGATGAAGAGAAGCGCCACACCCATATGCTCGGGGACGATGAATTGCCATATTTCTTTGTGACCATTCACATGGCACGGGAGCTGTGTCTGTGGGGAACGCCGATACCCTGTCATTACATAGATAGCATGGAGGATGTGGTATCGGATATATCATTGATTGAGGATAAAAAGGAGTCGGTAGTAGCAAAGAAAAAGAAATCAAGGACCGGCACATTTTCGAAGCAGCAGCAGGTAGTCCAGGTAATCGAAGACCCACAATTGAATCAAATTCAACGTGTCAGAAATACAACGGTCAATACGTTTCGACCTACGCTAATTGCCTTGCTAAGAACCAGCCGTAAGCTGCAGCCTGGGGAGCGTCAACTGGCGGTCGAAAATTTTAACTTGTTACAACGACTGGATCACAAGAAAATCCGACAGTTGGAACGGTATTGTGTTCCACGGATATTGTCCTCATTCAAATTCCCAATGGAAGTCAGAGAGGACCTCGAACAGCAGAGTTTTGATAATCGGCCAAAGCCGAAAAATATGTTGATCAGGCGACGCAGCATCGATACTGAGGAAACTGTCGTTATTGGCGATTTGGATTTCGATTATGAAGAACAACATGCAGCCGAAAGGGTCTATCCCGTTTTTGAAGATTTGGAGTGCATGAAGTATGTCGAGGAAGATGTGGACGGCTATGAATTTGATAAGAAAAGCATGTACGGCCTGATCGACACCTTGGACAATATCTCGACCAGATACATTGCTAGACACTTAAATATTATGAGTCAGGCTGATTTTTCGATTAAAAAAGCACCAAAAAAGGCAATAGTGCCAAATGTCGATACACGTACGGGCAGCGGGTTCGTTAAAACGAGATCAACGGTTCGAACACAGAGCAAGCACTCAGTGGTCCATGGAAGTGGAATGGGCTCATCCAATGTAACCATACTTGGAGAGCTATCGAACCGTTCTATTCAGACTGACGAACCCGAGGACCATTCAGCAGAAAATGAAGCTGAAAGTTCACAAGAGCCGGAAGTAAAAGCGGAGAAGCCCAAAGAGAGGGTCATACGCTGGACAACCAAGCATATCATTTCCCACAATTTCGATAGGGAAGCGCGTACCATGAACATCAAAACGGATCGTTTGGGCATATTTGGATTTGCCTACAAGCGCTACGAGCATTTCCCTTTTCGCAACTGGAGCCTGCAGCCCAATGAGGAAAAGTAAGATTTCTATATACATATATCCTGTATTTTATATGAACTGAATTTATTTGCGGATAGAGTACATTCTCTGTCTTTTCCTGCCTATCTCTATCTATGTTATATTTATTTATTGCATATATTGGGGAAATCTCATACCTTTCTCTCTTGCTTACTCTGTCTATTCTGTTCTCTATCTCTCTCTAAATAGCAAAGCTCGCGCTATGAGTTTTCATTTATTTTATTTTATCAAATGCTTCTTTATCTGATTTAGCAATGATGAAATTATACTGAGTGTTGATACATTTTATGCACGCGTTATACTTTACATTTCGGCTGCTGGCATTAGTGGCTATGTGACGGATATATCCTTGAATTACGTGGCACATCCGGTCAAATACTTGGAAATAAAAACTCCAATTTCTGATTATCGTGAACTGCGCCGGGTAAGTGCTCAGCAAATTTTCGGGATTCTCGATCAATATTATTGATATTTCAGCGCTTCTTTGAGAAAGGCATCAACATCTTTGCGGAAAACGACGCTTGTTTCTATATAGACAACGGCTACTTCTCGGTCAAGCACATGGCTACGGAGGATCACACGTACGATGCCATGGCTCTACATTGCAAGCTGATGAAGTTCTATCGGTGTAACTGGAATTGTTTGGCATCGCGACGTAACTTGTTGCTTGGCATGAAGAACGCCAAAGATCCTACCGATTATACTGAAGTCACAATGCGCATAACGCCCGATAATGCGACCTTTGTCGAGGTATCGGAGCTATGCTCCGACGATCTGGATGTTATAAAACTCGACTATAAGAATACGTGGCGCAACATGAGCGTAAGTCGTGATAGATCGGAGTTTTCCTATTAATGTTTGAATTGTTATAGAACTATTCGGACCTGCATCAGGCCATCAACTCAATGAATCCTTCTGCCACGGAATTGAGGAACAAGGATCCGCAGTTGCTCTTCCAGGTCAAGCGGATGCTCAACGAAATTCATGTAATGAGCTTCTCATAGAATCCAATCTGTTTTCTATCGATTTCTGTATGTTTATAAACAAGTAAAAATGTCTTGAGAGAATTATCTGTCAGTTGTGTTTATTTTAATTATATACACACAAATCGATACACAGACAAACTCACACACATGCACACCACACGGGAAAATACAATAAAACTCAAGTGAACCAAGAAATTAAAAATATTTAAAAATAAATAAGCTAAATAAAAAATGTTAAAATAATCAAGAAAAAAGTAAAAAAAAATATAAAAATCAATCATGAATATTAACAAAAAGAAGCGAAATTTAAATGTTGGCAGAAAGAACGAGAACAACGAAACTCAGCATAATAATAAATCTAATGAGTATAAGGATTATGCGTTAATCTCCAAAGAGAATTGGCAGATTCGGGAGAGCCGTCACTACCAGAGGATACAGGATGTCAAAGTGTGCCTGAGCTTTATTGCGGGTTGGTCTCGAATCTGAAAACGCTAGATTCATAATCCATAACGCTCTATCGCCTTGTTTAGACTCGATTGATGATTACAACAAGCTGCAGTACAATCAGAGTAAGGAGCAGGCCTGGCAGAGGTACGTCGACTGTGACGGCCTGCCCCGGGTGTCTGTTCCGGCTGAAATACGCACAATGCTGTCCGAGCTGAGACATTATGAGGCGTTGGAATCGCGGTCGACTGTCAATTGGGAGCTGTCTGTGGACGAGCGCTGCGTCCTCTCACAGAACATCTACCGAAAGGACTTGACACGGAAAACACTTATGCAGACCGTTCGCCCCAATATCGGAGCGTTCTACGATAAAGCTGTGGCGAATATACTCATTACCCTCGAACGCATTGTTCTCATGCTACACAACGAGCACGATATGCGCGACATCCCAAGCAGTCGGATCACAGAAATCTTAGCTGTGAGTGTTAATGCTAATGGGAATTCGATTGGAATTCAGCTTAGTTTTAATGTCGATTGAGGCAATCGAGGATTTCATTTGAATCTTCAGCTTAATTTTACCTTTGATGAAGTTGACTATAGATAGATAAGTAAGAACTTTTCAGCTCGAATTGGCATAGACTATTAGGAAGTTATATTCTCCATTATCTAAAGATTTTAAAACACGTTTTAAAGGATTGTAACTATCCCTTTGCAGTTACGTCCAGAACTGAGTCACGAAATTTATGTGTTCTTTGATAAGCTGACCTATCGCATTATTTCTGCCCCGACTGCCTACAGGACGTAAGCATGCACACATATAGATTGGAGAATAATTTAAAATAAATAGTCCTCAGGTCGTTCGAAGGGTTAACGGAAACCTATTGCTATAATTGTTCCAATTATAACTTTCAAGTCTGGTGGTTGCGCGATGTTCCCGCTCGCTTTGATTACTTTGAGTAAGCTTTGACGGCAGTGTTAGCTCCGCCTTGAATTGAAATGATTTGGCTTTGCAGACTACCCCTAATATTGGCCGTCTTGGACTGTGTGGGCATTCAGTTGCAGATACCGCTTAGTGTTTTATGTGACAATCTGACACTGCAGTGTGTGCACACGTTTTTCGATCATTTGTCGGAGGAGGCGAAAAGCTATGACCAGGCCATCGATGCCACAGCCAATAGCATTAACGGGGGCATAATGGACATTGAGGATTGTCTGATCAACGAGTGGCTGATGCAAGTGAATATTGTCGATAAAATATTGACGAAATTAGAATTTAAGAAACTGGAATACGAGGAATATGAGGAATATTTGCGGTGAGTCAGCGCAGCAATCAAATGTGGGAAACTCCGTTGAAACGACCTTAACGCCTTAGAGAGATGAGCCAAAAAGACAGTAACTCACGTTTGGATGATAAAAAGCGAAAAAGCTTTAAAAAAAGCGAAATTAAAACCAAACGCGTAGACCTTCCCCTATTGAGGAGGACTTTAAAACAGCCCGCTTCAATTCCGGAGGGTTTTTTTCCGGATCCGTTCGAACTATTTCTAGAGGAAGAAGAAAACGAGTTAAGAGATTTCCTTGATCGTTGCCTAAATCCCCGAAATTTGAATTTGACATCAGATGAGGTAATTGATGATGCGGTATCTGATGTGATATTTATAATTGGAGCTTTCATTTTTCTGCATTACAGATCAACTTACGGCAATATAATATTCTAGGCGGCGTCTATTCGATGCACTTTGTGCGCAAGCCAAAAAACACAGGTTTCGAAAAGTTTAATGTAACCCTGCACGAGGACGGACGGATACTATATACCTCGGAAGATGTGCGAGCAGTTGTGGAGAGTCCCTCTATGGAGCATCGATCTTCCGAGCATATGCATCACAAGTCTCGATTCAACTATACCCAGGCAATGGAATCACCAGAGAACATAGACTTGAAACTGACGCCAGAAGAACTTCCATATTTCTGTTTGACCTTTCGCCTGCCAGAGTTGCTGTGTCTTTTCGGGAAGCCAGTGGCATGTCAGTTCATGGAAGAGGTGGTCGAGGACGATGATGATGATATTAGTTGGATTGATTTCATAGATCAGCACAAACTGAGAAAGAAACTTAAGAAATCATCTACAAAAACAAGTTCGCTATCTAAGAAGAGTAAAATAAGTTCAAGAATTTCAGGGGGATTTGACGCGCAGCCAAACAGACCGGATACGACGCTTATAAGGCGAAAGACGATGAATGCAATGAACATCTATCGTCCCTCTATTATAAGTACATTTCGTATGAACGCTCCGCCTAGCTCGAGCCCGGTCGGCGTCTATTTGACTGACTTCTATGTGCAAGGCAAGCCCCTGACCCCGCTTCAAGTTCATGAATTGGCGCGATACTGCTTACCCCGTATGTTATCCTCATTCAAATTTCCGTTGGATTTCCGCTTGGAGCAAACCGAAGAAGTAGAAGATAAGGTTGAACGCGGCTGCACACTTGTGCGTCGACAGAATATCGAGACCAAGGAGCCACCCGCAGCACGCACCAATGTACCGGAGCATTTTAGCTTCGAGATGCAGGCAGACCCCGAAAGGATTTTCCCCATTTTTGATCATCGGGAGCAAGTGAAATGCACAAGCGATAGGCTCGCTGCCGATTCGGACACACATGGGACGGGCGAGCATAACAAGATCTCCATATGTGGGCTACTCAACACCCTCGATGGAATCGAAGATCAGTACGCGTCACGATGCCAGGCACTAATGAGTCAGACGTTTGGCACTAGAGCATTACGATTAGCGCAATCGGAAATTCAAAATAATTTATTCAATATTCGGTCTAAGACCGGAAGTCGCAGCAGCAAATTAGTTGCACCTTCAAGGTCCGGGCGCTTATTTCACATGAGTCACATGACTAACGAGACACACATTAACCGGGAACATAGCAGCGACACAGCCAGCATTTCGTCCAACGATTCTCATCACTTCAGAAAACCACCTAAGGAGAGCGTGAGGCAAAAAAAAGAGCCAGACAAGGTTAAGCACTGGACCACGAAATACATAAAACACACCGAATTCTTACCGGAATCTTGCACGTTTAAGATTCGGACAGATCGATTGGGCGTCTTTGGGTTTGCTTACAAGTGCTACGAGCACTTCCCCTTCCAAGATTGGACCTTAAAGTGTAACTCAGAGAAGTAAGTGAAGTTCCTTAAACTAAGTACGACAGACTACTCTTAATATTCCTGGCCGGCTCAGGCTAAGGCTATTTTGACTATGACTAAATTTCATTAAACTCAACCTCATCTACTTATTCAGCAACAACGAGATCATCTTTACACTGGACACGTGTCATGTGCGCGTGATTTTGTTTATAACCAATGCGGGCATCCGGGGCTATGCGACAAAAATAACTAAGGAATATGTAGCCAACCCGATTAAGTATGTGGAGCTCAAAGAGCCCACATCAGACTTTAGCAAGCTGCGCAGGGTAAGCCAACGAGCATCTAAAATGATCTTATATATGATATAAATATATGATATTAATAAGATCTTTGATTGAAAAATAATACCTAGATATCTATGCCTAATAGAGTATTTCTGTTATCCATTTTCCTGTAGCACTTCTCCGAGAATAACATCAATATATTTGCAGCGAACGATGCCTGCTTCTATATTGAAAAGGGTTACTTCTCCCAAAAGCATCTGGCAACTGAGATGCATGTGTACGATGCCTTTGCCATACACTGTAAGATGATAAAGTTCTATCGCTGCGATTGGAATCGGTTGGCAATTCGTCGGAATATATTGCTCTGTCTTCGCAATCCCAAAGATCTGAACGATGGTGCGGATGTAACGATACGTGTGACGCCCGATAACTCAACCTTTGTAGAGGTCTCTGAGGCATGTCTGGATACGACCGACACATATAAGTTGAACTATCAGCTCACGTGGCGAAATATTGGTGTATGTATTTAGTTACAGTTACCTAAAAGAGATATCTATATCCATAAACTATGTCTTTCCCTCACTCTCTTCTTCTTTCTTCTAGATTTACTCGGATGTGCATCAGCTGATCAACTCGATGTATCCACAGGCAACAGAAGCGAGAAATCGCGATCCCAAGCTGATTCACTACATACGAACACTCTTCAAGGAGATCAGACCTTTAAGCTTCTCCTAGATGGGGATAGATGGGGATGGATGTTGATGAGATGCTGTTTCCATATGCACATTTAACGAAAATGCATATGCTTCTCCAATTGAATTCAATTAAAACCAATTTGTAAGCAACTTTCTTTCCACTTGAACTTCTTTGCGAAATTCTTCCACAGTTGAAACTCAACTGCATCGAATCGGTTTGTTCGGGGTGGTCTTTCGATACAGCTTATATAAGAACTATAGTCAAGTTCTAGCCAATGCTATTTTGTAAACTCATTTGATTAGTTACTGTCAATGGCGCTGGTATTCGTGTTATATTTCGCACTAATGCAGCTGGCACTCAGTCCATTCACTCAGGCTGAGGGTCATGCCGGGGTTGAAGCTGAGGCTGAGGCTGATGCTGAGAATTTCCCGAATTTGAAAAGTATTGTGATGCCGCTTGCAATAAATCGTGTTGTCGGTGGTGAAGCAATAACGATTCAGAAGGTCGGCGGATATATACTTGCATTGCGATATGACGGCGATTTCATTTGTGGGGGCTCCTTATTGAGAGATCTTGTTGTTTTATCAGCGGCTCATTGCTTCTTGGGTCGCACCGACAAATCACTGTGGATCGTCGAGGGCGGCGTCTCTCGTCTAAACGAGGATGGCGTCAAGGTCCAGTTGAAGGACTATGTAGTGCCCGCAGCGTTCACGGAACGTGAGATGAATATGGACGTGGCTGTGGTTTTGCTATCGGATCCGTTGAATGGCCCAAATATTGCAACAATTCCACTGTGCAAAACTAGTTTGGTACCGGGCTTGAAGCTTACCGTCTACGGCTGGGGTCTATCCGACCCAGATGGCACCTATCCGCATCAACATCTGAGAGCCGTCTCGGTACCCGTCATCAAGAAGAAGGACTGCAAGAATACCTACAGGAGCTCAAGTGAGTTCCATTCCAATCAGTTACCCTTGGTCATCTCAATTTACTCTTCACCCTCTTATCTATTTACAGTTACGATAACCGATAGCATGTTTTGTGCCGGCGTTTTGGGTAAGAAGGATGCGTGCACCTTCGATTCGGGCGGTCCGTTTGTTTACGCGAACTCTCATGGAGGAAGAGAGCTATGTGGCATTGTCTCTTTTGGCATTGGCTGTGCCAGCCCCAAGTATCCGGGCGTCTACACGGACGTTAACTATATCAAACCATTTATTTTGGCAACCATAAAAAATTTTGGTGTATTAGATTAAGGCGAGCGCTGCAAGTGCTGATGGACAGCCCTAATGCAGTGGCTCAGAGTTCATTATTAAATTCTATTCAATTAGTATACTGACTTTACTTTGTATAATGGACGTGAGTATAGCAAAATTCTACATATGTGGAAGCAGAAAGCTGAGAAGGATACAGTAGTTCTGTCTGATCTAAGCTGACTTTTATCGCATCTAGAAGACAATCTTATGTTTTGATAGCACAAACTTTCCCCTTCTGACACAGTTGGAATTATTGAACTTTATTTAGTCATTCCTCGACTTTTGCCTTTGCTGCTTGAATCGCAAACACGCTATGAAACAAGCCTTTGCTGTTGCTTTAATTGTTGTCATTATTTGCATCTTGGATGAAAGTTTCGCGCCCCACTTTGGGGCATTGCGTGCTCTGGTAGTGGCAGCGGCAGCTCCTTGCTGATCATTGACTGATTCCAATAATTGATTGCAAGGAGTCCTGGCTCCGTTGCCTGCCAGCCTGAAGGCACAATTTTAGAAACGATGCTCGCACGACGAACTTTTACCCAAGTCTCTGCCTTGCAAACAAGCAAAAAATGTAAATTAGCTGACCAAAGTCAAAGAGAGAGAGAGAATGAGAGAGAGGGCGAGAGAGAGGAGAGTGTATCAAAATTTATTGTTGCATGACTGACGGCCTTTCGTCTTCATTCGAATTAGTTTAATAATACAATTAATTGTTATTTATAGCTTCCTCTCAGACTGAGCGCTCTATCGTCGAGGATAAACCAAATCAAAGACCTCTTAAATGATTGTTTATAGCACGCAACGCAATTTTTGAGATAGCTTCTAACTGTTTTTGAAATACTTGAACAAAATATTGGGAGTATAAGCAAAGAACTTGAATACAGTGTATAAAGTAGCGGAATTTCTTTTGTATAAATATTTTTAGCTTCGTAAACTTAAGATTTTTGTATAGTCTTAGGAAATACCTTCGTCTCAAAGCCAAACAGTTTTCCCTAGATACAATACTCTATAAGGTTAATACACTTAATGAAGCGGTTGGCTTAGGTCAAGCTCACCTTGAACTCTTAAGTCTGACTAACTTAAATTGAGTCAAGTTTTAAACTTAGCTAAGGCCTAGCTTGCAGTCTTAACAAACATTTTCAGATAATAAAAGGATTTCTTAGTCGTCCAGGAACGTAATATATATTCAAGTTCTTGCTCCAGGCCCAGTAAGCGCTCTTAAAAGTGATCTGCGACACCATTTGGTACAGCTTAAATATGTCAAAGCTGGTGCAGCTGTGGTCCACCCAAGAAATATTTGTCTATATTAAAAGCTTTGGCTGGCATCTTTGATACAACCCTTTATAGGATGCTTGGCTAGCCAAATTCCTGACATATTTAAGGCCCTCAAGTATCAGCTGCTCAACGGGATGTCGACAGGCAACAACATAAATATATATATATGTCGGATTAGTGTTACTTTCCATTGCGTTAGCGCAGTGAGTTTCGGTCGCACTCGAGTTTTAACAAAGACTGACTCGAGACGCACAATTCTTGTGCGTGTCTTCCACCGAACCACACTCGGCGACAGCGACAGAACGCTGTCGCCCCGCTAAAACGGGACTTTACCAAACTACAAAACTTAGGCAACCAATCACATAATGTTGCAGTTATGTTTCTACGAAAATGCTCGAAGACGCACCAATATATATGAAGTGTGACCTTCAAACATATTACCAGCACGCGCCGGCAAGGCGCCTATACATTTCTACTACCTACTCTCCGACACGGCCATCCTGACCATAACACGACCTCGTGTAATTCCCCAAAAATGTTTTACTGCAGAAATCGTTTTGTTCATAAATTATCGAATAGAATTTAACATTAACATTTTCCCTACAACTTTACTAATTACAACTACATCATTTTAGCTTCAACTTTTACTTTCTTCCAGAATTTTAATTTCATCTCTTTGTATCATTCTTAAATTTATAAAATTCTTCTTTAAATTAATTTAACTTTCTTGATTTTTTTTTTTCTTCTTTTTTTTTTTTTTAATTTTTATTTATTTATTTATTTATTACCATAAACCCAACTGGTTTCGATTTTCATCATCTTATGCGCCACACGCCATGATCAAAACATTTGTTTTGCACTTGTGCTTGCATTATGACATTCTTTAAGTTTTATAACTAGCCTTTCAGGCATCCATACTGTCTCTTTCAACAGTTTCGATCATTCCATTACTGTCTCTTTCAACAGTTTCTTTTTCAATCATTCCATTACTGTCTCTTTCAACAGATTCTTTTCCAATCATTCCATTACTGTCTCTTTCAACAGATTCTTTTCCAATCATTCCATTACTGTCTCTTTCAACAGATTCTTTTCCAATCATTCCATTACTGTCTCTTTCAACAGTTTCTTTTATATCAATACTGTCTCTTTCAACAGTTTCTTTTTCATTATCATTTAAAGCCTCTTCACTACTTTCTAGTTCAACTGATACATACTCCTCTGGTAATTTTCGTATCTCTTCGTGAGCATACTTGTACTTTCTGTTATTTGTCAATGATCTAAGGATATATCTATCTCCGTCTAACAATTCAGCTATTTGCAACGGTCCTCTAAACTTTGGGCTTAACTTTGTTTGATGCCTTTCTTCACTCTTCAACAACACAAAATCTCCTACTTTGTATCCAACAACCTTAGCCTTGGTTTTATCAAAGTGCGCTTAGTATATGCTGCCGCTGCTGATATATTTTGCACCGCTCAAGCTCTTGATTCTGCCAAATCAACCTCTTGTGTCATGTCGCATAGTGAAAGCAACCCCAACGGTCGAGCAATCTCATCCAATGCATCCTAAGACCCTTACATAAATTTCCGAAAATATGACGCCAATCCAATAAATTGTCTTAAAGCAGAGACCGACAGCACTAATATCGTAATCCAAAAATTGGACAGATGACTTTAAGAAGAAACACTTTGTAATGATAATCCAGCCTCCGTAGGAACATTTAACACAATGTGTTTGCCAGATCTCCTAAAGCCTGTATAACTAATCGTTGAAAGACAGAAGGTTCGTTTCGAAGTCCGAATGGCATAGATAAAAATTCGTACTGTCCATCTGGTGTCACAACGCGGCATACTCAATAGAATCTGCATGTAAGGGAATTTGATAGTATCCGCTAGCCATATCCAAACATGTAAAATAATAAACTCCTTGAAGTCTATTTATTTGATCGTTTATAAGTGGAAACGGGTATCTATCAGCCACAGTGTTTGAGTTTAATTGTCTATAATCAACACAGAGCCTATCCGAACCATTTTTTTTTTTTTTTTTTTTTTTTTTTTTTTTTTTTTTTTTTTTTTTTTTTTTACCAATAATATGGGGCTAGCATAAGGTGAACAGCTGGGTCTAATTATGTTGCACGCAGTAGTTCTTCGACTTTATTTCGAACTAATTCTCTTTCACATGGACTCAGTCGATATGGTCTCCTGTTATAAAAGAATCTGAGTAGTTTGTCAACAGTGACTGCAACTTTATTTTATCTGTCCCCTCAAGTTCAGTATCCATTTCGGTTAACTCATTGCCGGTACATAAATTAACTATTTTAGTTCTTACGATCTTAAATTGATTTGATGAGACGACAATATCAAAACCCTGATTTAGTATTTCTCGCCCAATAACAATTTCGCTTTGCATTTGAACTGTTGCCTATGCCTTTTAACATAACAATATTCGTAAATCGTTTACCAGAAAATTTTTTTACTTATCTTTTCTTTCGTCAGTGAGCACTCCGCACCAGAATCGAAGGTTATTTCGAAAACTTGTCCTCTATGGTCCAGATATCCCTTGGGTACTGCAACCTACACTGTTCCACTCGTTTTTCCCGGTTGAATGTTATGTTCTTGTCAGCTTCCTTCCTTGTACACTGAGTGGATATGTGACCCAACTCTCCGCACTTGTAGCAAGTTACACTTGATTTCTCAAGATGATGGACGTCTTGCCTGCCATGTCGTTCCTTGCCATCTGTAAACGGGTCTCGTTGCGTCCTGAGTCGACAATCAATCATTTTATGGCCCAGTTTGCCGCAAAAATGGCACTCTATCGATGATTGTTTTTGTCTTTTTGGATGAATGTCAGTTTGTTGCTCCATAGGTCCACCTCTTCTTTTAGCAAAAGTGAACGCCTTCAGTTCGGACTGCAACTCGCTTCTGGTTCGAATATTTGATGTGAAGCTTAAACGCTGCAGGCGAGCATCAAAACTTGCCAGCAACGCAAGAGTCACAGACACGGCGATTTCTTCTGTTTCCATTTGGCGCCATTTCGTCGATAGTTCTGTAACCATGCGGCTTGCGTGAACTGCAAGATTCTCGCCGTCAGCCGGTCGACTTGACAACATGTTTAGAAACACGGCAGCTGGTGTTTCTATAGTGTCAAAACGCTGGATGAAAAGTTCTTTAAACTCGATCCAGGTGATATTTGCGTAGCACACATGAGAAAGCCATTGAGAAGCGCTTCCCTCTAGTGCTGTACTTAGGGCCACGACCAGTGCACCGCCTTTTAATGAATTTTCTTGTAGAATAATTTCTACAGTGGTACACCACGATGAAGCCTTGGCGCCTGCGATGTCTGGGTTAAATTTCGGCAGTTGCACCGATTTGCTCTGTCCTACGTCAGATGCCGTTGTTTGTAAAGCTTGCACAAGTTCAATTAGATTTTTATTCTGCAACTCCATGATGGTACGCCATGGTCCATCTAATGTTGTAGGTGAAGGGCCAGATCCCACTTCTGATGTCGGATTAGTGTTACTTTCCATTGCGTTAGCGCAGTGAGTTTCGGTCGCACTCGAGTTTTAACAAAGACTGACTCGAGACGCACAATTCTTGTGCGTGTCTTCCACCGAACCACACTCGGCGACAGCGACAGAACGCTGTCGCCCCGCTAAAACGGGACTTTACCAAACTACAAAACTTAGGCAACCAATCACATAATGTTGCAGTTATGTTTCTACGAAAATGCTCGAAGACGCACCAATATATACATAT